CCCAAAAAAATGGAGTTTGAGGAGTGGTCTGACCAGTAGTGCTTAAACTTAAGAGGATCTACTTGCAAACTATTCGTAGATGTAGCGTCAAGCGACCGTTGATCCTTTCGATACCTTCATAATGCAGCTAACATGTGATTGCAGGCAAGACACTGAAAATCAAGGGCGGCAACAAAAACCCTCCGTAACTCCTTTCAGAGAAGAGTTCAGCAGATAATGAAAGCAGATTTGAGTTCAGCGTCTCATGTTGCGTACAGAAATGTGCACCTCATTTCATTTGGCCGGGTTGGCCTAATGACCTTTCCTGGTTAGTACGGTTTATTTTCACTGCTTTTTATTGGTACGCAAACTCATTGCAGTTTGCACTTATGATTCTCAGTGATGTAATAGCATTTGTGCATCCGGCCAACATATGGAGAGTTGGTTGCATGCGCGAACGCCTCCAAAACGTGGTTTTCATTAGTCAGACTGGAAGGAGAGGGACTACCCTCCGCATTTTCAGTTCCGTTGTTGGGATGCGTTTTTTTCACGTGGTATACACCGTCGTCCTCTCTTCATCTTCTCCTTGAGCGAGCACCAACCTCATATCCGTTCGTCCCTGCTGCGAGCCAATGCGCTTTGGTGGATACCTCCTTGCTCGAGGGACACGATCCATCATTCCTTTCGTTCAGAGCTTTCGTGAAGAAGTCTGACCATCGGGCCGGCGGTCGTCCAGGTGTTCGTTTGACGTCCCGAGGGATCCAGTCGGTAACCGCTCTGGTCCAACGGTCATCGCAAAATCGCATGACGTGTCCGGCCCACCTCATCTCTCGATTTTTTGGCGAAACAGCAGCGTTCTTCTCATTCCGGTTGACGTATTACATTCTCGAGAGCGGTTTTGAAAAGTTTCGGCGTGACGGTATCACCCTGTCGGACTCCTACCTTTACGTCGATTATGATTTGATTGTGGAACAGTGAAAACTGGTCGTAAGGTTGCTGCAGAGCCCACACTCGTAACGTGGGACAATGCTTCCTTTATATGTAGTATTGTTAGAGTGTGAGTAAAAGATTCTACTTCGGAAAAGATTTGCTGGACTGGGAGAGGCGTATAATTATGCAATTATGATGGAGCGAAATCCCTGAAGTAGTGGGTCAAAGGAGTCGGTGTGTGCCTCGGTTTGAATCAAACGAGCCAAACGAAACCCTGACAGTTTCATAATTGAGATTTAACCCTATTTGCAGACTAGTTGATGTAGGGTGCGATCAAACGCATGAAAGCAGAGAAAGAAAAAGGGCGCGGTATAACGCATAGGATGCGCAGCAACCACCCACTTGCCAGCGTGTTAACCATATGGTGCAGTTGAGAAGTTGCAGTTAAAGAGAAAAATCGCTCTGAATGTCTGCAAATATTCACATTTTTTCTAGGTCTGTAGATAGTTGAGTGCCCCCTCCTCCTCACCTTGACTGTGCGATTCTTAGGCAGTTTTTCATATGTAGCATTTTTTAAATCTTCACCGAGTATTTTCTTTTTGGTTTTAGGTGTCGTGAAATCCAACCCCAAATTCGACTATGCGAGTTCAGCTGTGCTGATGCCACCGCGCAACCGGTTGATGGAATGATGAACGAACTAATGGAGATACGCGCTCAGGGTACAGATAGCGAAGCTGTCGATGTTAGTGTCATCGAATAGATTTACACATGCTCCATATCTTATCGCTCCGTCATTCAATACAACTTCAGCGCCTCATTGCCGAAATGCGCTCAAAGGCTACATGCGACGACGTGGTAGTGGTTGAGTGGGGTGGATTCAAGTCAACGGTAGAAGACGATAAGGCGCGACAAGTGGTACAAGGTTGGCGACAAGTCCACAATGAGCTCGCGCAGTGCGAAACTCCTAAGGAAAGGGTTTGTTGGTTAACATAAAATTAAGTTTTTTTTTATTTGGTTGGAGCAATCCTTCTTTTATACCAACCGCTTACTAGATGTTTTTTTTGCTGGTATGTATGTCGGTCGGTGTATCGGGTTATGGGTCGCTAAGACAAAAAGTGTTGTTCGCTTCTCACAGCGCGAGACTTTCGATTCGATTAGATCTGACCAATCAATTCGATCAATTTGCCCATAATCGTGGACTCGTCCATTTGTAGCAATGGTAATAGAAGTCATTACAACCAATGTTTTCACGCCTACAGGTTTTTACAGTGAAATATTTACTGTCTGAGGTCTTAACATCGCACTCCCTCAACGGGCTGAATGCATTTTGTGGCACTTTTTGGAATGTTATCTATTATACTTAATTCAGACCTTATCCCGCTGCAACTTCTTGTAAGCACGAAAAGAGCCGAAATCCTAACAGCCACCCTCTTATGTGTCTAGTTCGCCGGTAGGGTTCGGACGGGAAACAAAAACAGCACGGCACAAAAACATTAGTTACCCGCCTATACGAACACATTTGCCAGTTTTCGAGAAGGGTGCGCATACAAGTGGGGAGAAATAACATTGCTGCTATCCATCTGAAATTATTCTGCCATGTTGAAGTCATCGCCTCTTTCTTTTTGTTACAGATGATGTTGTATGAGAAACAGCTTTCTGATACGCGTGACGCACTTGAGCGGATATCTGATCTGATTCGTAGAAAGGCATCTGATAATGTCGACTCATCGGTATGTTTTGTATAGTTTTAATATTCTAAATTGTTATCAAATTTGCGTCAAAATTGTGGAATTCTATCTTTTCTTACCGTGATATAAAATCACCAGACTTCGTTCGGATCCGGTGACTTTTATTCAGCTTAACATACTTATTCATCAAGGATATTTGATGCCACAATGAGACACAATATATTATGTCTCTACGTATGCTGGAAATTTTGCCACTTTAGGCATTACAAACAATCAAATCGTACCTGGAATCGCTTAAAATGGTTGGAACGGCGTCTCGCTACTTGGCACTGATTGAGAATACGAAGTAGGTCAAGTTATTAGTAAGAAAAGCAGTTTTGGAACAGCTTCCATTCTGTCCATTCTGGGTTCTTTCAGAGCCGAAAAGAAAACGAAACCTCAGGATTTGTTGCGCTTGTATGATTCCGTGATCGAAGTTTTCAAAGAGGTGAGGCTACTTATTTTCAATTAGTCATACAGTTTCATACTGTTCAGTGCTCAGAGCTTTGTTAGGTTTTCACATAATTTCTAGAACCCTTGATAAGGTTGTAGCACTCATTTGCCGTTGATCAATCCCTTTTTGGGATGCGGCACGCATTCTACTTCCATTTGTACATTCGTAGTGGCGTTTGAATGCGATGTGGCCTATACAATGACTTGCGGGGGCCAGCCGATGCAAGTCAGTGTTTTTATCCTCCCAGACAAGTCTGGTACCAATTAACCGACCCCGGAGGGATGGAAGGCTTGGTTGGCCCGGGCGACTCACGACCCAGGATTTGATCCCGGACCGCTCGCGTGGTAAGCGTGCCACTTGCCACTACACCACTTCCGCCCATATTATGAGGGCCGCTTGCGAAATATTGCGAGAACTTCGCAGATATTCAATGAGCCAGAACAGAATCCCCGAGCTGGCGCGATTCTTCAAAAAATCTAGAATTTTGTAGCATTTAACAAGTCGATCAGAGAAATTACAAGGGAATCAAATTTGAAAATAACCGAGCTAATCAAAGAGATGTGACAATTCAGGAAAAGAAGCGTGGAATTATGATAAAGATAATCTTCCAATGAAGTTAGAGTTTTCTTCTTTTAGCTTCTTCAGTTGCCGGGTGTAGAATATGACAAAGACCTCACTCAAGCGACTACTGCAAAGATTGAGTACTACAAAGCTTTCAGGTTGGTTGATTTTTTCAACAGTGTTGGATGGGCTATTTTGATAGGGGGAAGTTGCTATTCATGTTGTCACTTCTGGTTTCGCGTATATGAAGTTGTTTGCTACATTTCTTACTAAGAGTTAACTATCACCTTGACGGATTTAGATGTCATTACATGGCTGCTGCGTATGCAGCATTGTCTCGTTTTGGCGAGGCTGCTGCGCTTTTCGACAGAGCTCTTTACCGTTGCAAGGAAGCTAGGAACTTCGTATCAAAGCTCAAAGGGAATCCCTATCTGGTAGAAGAAACTGAGGTAAATAATTTATTGATTGAAGCGACGCAAATGTCTATTTCGAATTTTCGTTGCTGATGCACTAGGAAGAAGTATTTGTTCAATAAACAATTTTTTTTGTTCTAGGATTCGCTCCATGAACTTGGTCGCGATATTGAGCAAGCGCGTATTGCAGCAAGAGCCAAGCGTTTAGCAGCAGCAGCCGGTATCGTCGAAGAAACAGATGAGCAGACAGCACGTGACATTGATGACAGAGTAGGTCATGCATTTTGGAACGTATTCTGTTGATCGCAAGGAGTGGGTCTGGCGAAGATTGTTTTCAAAAACATTGTCATCCAACAAGACAACTTTAGTTTTTGATTGAAAGCACCTCCTCGCTTCCCTCGTGGCTGCATCATCCAGTCGTTAAAACTTTTCACTTTTGCCGTGTACATGGTATAGTACAACGAAGTCAGCCTTATATCTTTACAGCCTCTCATGGACACGCTGACGGAGTGGCGGCAATGGGACGTGGCTACTGCTTTGCGCGAGAAACGCACGATTCCGATAGCAGAAATGCCTCCGCCATTTATACTGATGCCAAACAAACCTATATTCTTCGATCTGGCATTGAATCATGTCAAGGTTTGTTTAGCATTTTCACGATGGACAGCTGAGTCACGCAGCGTTGTTAATAACATGATATCTTGTTGAATTGAAAAGAACTACCAGTTAATTTTTATCAGTGAGATCTTGATTCAAAGTAGCCCATGGTTTGATTAGTTCTGATTCCTCTCCTTTTCAACAAGGAAGTTAAAAGGAATCTTGCGCGGAAAATTCTTGCACTCTTTCCTAACATGAATATGTCAGTTGTGATCACTGGAAATAGCACACAAAGTTTCACGCATGAAGATTCGGTTTCTGAAGAGAAACAAACGTACAAAAACTACACGTTATGGACCATCGAAGGACCAGGAGGCAGAGCCAGGCGAGGCATGGAAAGAAGACGGCGTTTGGCCGGCTACGTACCAGGCGACGCAATGAGAGAATCGGGTTAAAGCGCGCGATTTCGGAGAGTGGAGACAAATCGATCGATGGAATAGGATGGAGTAGAAGTGTAAGATGTGAATGCAACGAAGCAGAAGGCCAGAAAGAGCTTCTAGTGAATGCACTCCAAGAACCAAGTTTGAGCATCCCCGTCGCCAGCATTCGTGAAAGACGTCCGTGGGCAATTCGAACGCGTAGCAGCCTTTCGAGTTTCGTTTAACGAATTTCTCTAATCTCTCACAAACTCGATCAATATACGCTCACGATCCTACTCTTTCATATTCGATGCGATATCAGTCTCCAAGCGCAGCATTCTCTAGGCTGCAGTGTTCAATGATTTTTCCGCGCACGGAATCTCGTTCGCTAAAAATGGCTCCCTGCCATCGCCATTAAAGACAAGCTTGGGGAGGAGATTGGGGGGTGTGAGAGCGTTCATAAGTGAGGGTTCTCACACTTTAATTGCTCCAGTGCCAATGACATTGAACCGCAATGCAACCGCTGCCGCAACTGCGCCCGCGCTTTTCAAGCAGCGTCACGTGGCAACCGACAGCGGAAGGCGGGGCTTGCGGACGAAGGTGTGGATTGCGGGTCGAGCGAGCTTCTAGCGCCTTTGTCGCGCACTTTCAAGCCGCAAAAGGGGCACGACATCAACGCTTGTCCGCCTGTCTACTACGCTTGGGGATTGGACAGGTGAGCGGGCCTATCCATAACATTTCCCTGCTTGGGCTGACACACACTATTGATACGTGTATGCATTCATTTTTGATCTATGATTGAATGTTTATGGATAGGATACCGCACATGTTAGTACTTGTTTTCTGTTTTGGGTTGATTACTAATGCTTAATCCTTAAGATGCCTGATCTCGAAGAACGGCTGGCAAAGTGTATGGAAGGCGTAAAAACAACTCCTGTTTCTAAAAAAGCAGCAGAGGCAGCGAAAGCAGCCGGTGCAAAAGCCGAGGATCAAACTGGTTTGTCTGGAATGGTCAAAGGGTGGATTTGGGGAAAGAAATAAGTTATCTCGTATCGTTTTTCTGCATTCTGTGTTACGTCTTGTTTAGTTGTTGTTTTGAGAGTATCTTCACTTTTTCGTGCTAAATTTGATGTATGAGAGTTTGTGTTTATTATTATTTTTAATTTCCTAATGAATTCATGCTAAAAACTGTTAAAATTCTCAGCTATAGAATGAACGGTACAGGTTTCGGGGCACCGCCCTTTCACTCGAGGGGTACTGTTCCAGAATTTTCGCGTGCCAAATTTCATTGCGTGATCAGATTTCAACCCAAAAGCGGCTGCCTTGCTTTCAAGGCAGTGCAGGCAGAGACATCGACGTCTACCTAATTGTAGCCTAGTACCATATTAATGAAACCTGAGCAGCTACTATTTCAGTAGGCCTAGGTCTGTGGGAGTTGCGGATGGCTTGGGCTCTGCTATTCATGATGCTGGGTTTTCCTAGTGGCAATTAACTTCATCCGAATAGTGAGATATACGCGCCATAGTGAGATATGGTTGGTTTTTATGGGATTTCTGCGTCTGGATCTTTCACAGCCGTTCCTGTTTTTTCTTAGGCTTTTTGAGCGGTGCACTTCCAAAATCCATTCCGTAATAACTTCGTATAGCATACATTAGATGCTGGTGAACATGACAGTAATGTCTTGCACTTGTTTTGCCAATTCTATCCTGCTGCAAATCAGTGTGGGGGTTGTTGATAGTTTTGAGTTGAGGTAAGGTCGAGCTGAAACCCTCACCCGCATTGCTTATATATTTTCTTTCTATCGTTTTTTTCCTTTCTAAAGCCGTACCTTACGTTAGTCAACGTTTCGTTATTGTGATTTCTTAGTTAGTTTCTGTCGCTTGTTCAATTTTTAATCTCATTCTTTTTTTTCAACTAGGTCAAGTTCCATTAAATTAAGGTATTATCGTGTTCTTAATGCTTGTCAGGACTTACGATGTCTTCCTCTCAGAGAACGTTGTATGAGTTCTGAATTTGTTGTCTTCTCATCATTTGGGACGGATTTTATTGTTGTGATACATAAATAAATTATTCAATATTAGCCAACTTATGCAGTAGCGGTAGTACAAACCGGTTAATATTGGCCAGTTACAGTTGGTTTTCTTTTTTAGTTAGCATTGCATCATGTTCTATTGGGCCGTTAGCTCTCGGAATCCAGAAGTTTACTGATTGTTTTCTTTCTTTGTTGAGAAGCTGTAAGTTGAGTTAGTTGTTCACTGTTGAATGCGTCTTCCCATCATTTATCTTGCATATTTCGACCTCTAGAAGTCCCTAGTTTTTTTTTTGCAGCGAAGTGGATTTGTTCGTATTTTGGTCACTAGGGGCGAGTTCATAGTCTATCGTCCGATCGCATAAGCCGCGGTCGCATAGGGGAGGTGACGTGGTTACCCAGTGCAAACCGAAACCACGCGTGACTGCGCGTCACGGTTTTTCAAAAGTCCAGAGGCCGTAAGATATGCTTCCCGAATGGTTGAGGGACGAAAATCCCTTTAATTTTTTTTGTTTTGAACGATACTGTTTCTTCATTTTCAGTGCATGTTTACTTTAACCTACACACATATTAAAATGTAGGCCCTTTATCAGGACAATCCCAGTTGGGAAGACAGAAAATTTTAAGGGATTTTCGTCTCCAACCCTACGCATTCGCCCTAAGATACGGCCACGCCATGGGGCCGTACGCCGTGAAAAAGTTTCGCGATACGCGCAGCGAAAATGTGGCTATTTTCTAGCGACCAAACTCCGAACAAGCCTGCTTTGCTGCAAATTCAAGTATGAAGCGAAAACGAAAAGTAAGTGGCTTTCTGCCCTATCGACTCCTACTCGGCTTGTCCAGTAGTGCTCCTCGAATTAAAATCCTGAACCTGACCTTGTCTGACAGCTGTGTGCGCTGCCAGCAGTGATAGCATTCGTTTAGGGCTTCACAGATTCACCTGAGCTGTTTCAGCGAATTTTTGGTATTTTAGTACAAAGAGCGGTCTACATTATTTGCCATCATTTGCAGCGATTAGCTGCAACGGAGGTAGTTGTGGAATTGTTGGAAAGCGCAGGGGAGGCGGAGCGGGCAGTCCGACCCTTTGTTAACTTGTTTGCTCATCCATTCTCGCTCTACTTTTTTCAACAACTGAACAGCAACAATTTTCACACGATTGTATTCAAATCGCTTCAAGTACACATACACACAATAATCACGCATACGATGTGCGCATTCATTACAATAATGCAACAGTTGTGCATGTGGTTAGCAGCCAGATCACTGATTGATGTACAGTCGATATCCGAAAGTTGGGGTAGGTGTGGCACCGGAAGTGACGTGCACTTGATAGAAGTGCGTGGATAAGCTGTTGCCAGCACGCTTT